GCGTTCTCATGGGCTTTGGCCCTTGCTTCCTTGCACAAAGGCACTGGAAGGGGTGCAAAGGAATCCAACTGCCGCCTGTTGGCGAAACATATGTGAGGTGAAATTGGGTGGGACATGGGAGAACGTTTTAGGGGAACTTGGCATTCTATGCCTGCCGCCCCCTGCATTTTGCTTGGGACTTGTAAAGTCGACCTGAGTGTGCTTGGTGATAATTAGTCTTTGGGGAAGATCCGCATGCGCGAGCTTATTCATCCCAGCGTGCCAAAGATTTCAGGTGTTTGCAAGATCACTGGCGCAGTCGGTTTCTGAGACCTGTTGGGAAGAACCCAAGCTTAAAGCAGAAGTCTCTCTTGAAGAATCCGATTCATCATGTTTGCTGTTCGCTTCGCGGGCGAAAGACGGTCGTTGGCCGCCCACTACCAACTACCAAGATCTACCAAGCACCAGGTCCCTCGTCCCAGAAGCCCAACCTGAGCTCGAGGTGACTCCAAACTTTGCCAAAGGGGTCTGAGAAACCGCTACATAAATGCATCATGCATGCATGCTGGCATGCATGAAAAAGAAAAACTTTGTGTGTACGCAGGTATGTGTGTCGGCAGCACTTTCAATTTCGTTGTGGTTGGACACTCTGCTTTGGCTACCACGACCAGGATGGAAAAGGACAAGCAATGCCGGTCTCCTCTACATTCAACATGAGATCACAAAGGTAGGGCACGTAGCGGGATATAATGTTGTTCATGCAGATTTGGCTACATTTCAACTTCCCCCATGCCCCGGAAAGCAATCTCTGGGCCCACCCGGGGCTAAGACTCCCCTTTGACAACTTTGCAAACAACCCTCCCCCCTTCATTCTGTGCCATCTTGCGGGAAAGGTGAACTTGTACGTATTTCCAGGCGTATCTCTGTGATTGGAGGGGACAGGTAAATGTGTAGAGCATCAGCGCCAGCAAACTCTGCCGGCTAAGGACTACATCAACCATTTGATGACCATTGGGGAAGAGAAGATCGGCAAGATCTTCAACGCAGTTTGGACGCTGATTTGAGGCAGCCCGGACTCAAGAGGTGGCCTGCGGTCGAGGTTGACTTGGATCAATCCGGATGACCTTTGTTGTAGCACTCATCAGAGGAATCCTCTGGAAATGAACCAATCCCCTTTTAGAGGGCACCCTCCCTCTCACGTGCTTCCGGAGATTTATCCGAAGGTCTGATTCCTTTTGCGTGGGATCTTGCCGGCCGGAGGTGCGGCTTCTAAAACCCAGCCGGGAAAAACACCTATGCTACCGCCTGACCGGACAATTCCACTTTGCTTTTTCAAGAATCCTCACCGGGAATATCTATTTTCAGACACTGACCTTGTTGGTGAAAGCTGCGAATAAAATGTGGAAATGTTCTCAATGCAGCGCGCATGTGATAAACGCTTGATTTGGTTGACACAATTTGCCGTTTGGGACGTTGTTTAGGAGGTTGCTGGGTTTCAGGCTTGAGTTGAGTTGTCATTGCCCAGGCCATGCTGGCAGAAGCATGCATGTGGCACGCATCATTGGCAAGCGAGGACATGAATGCATGAACCCATACATGGGCCCCTGGAAAGCAACAAGAATCCCTGGCATAATAACCCGACCGCCCTTACTCATGGCCATTTTTCTGGAAGCCAGCCACCAAGGGCCCAACATGGTTCGGGATTGAGGGGGCCCACATTCTTCCAGCTATGGATGGGGACATGCCTGCAACACCAGGGCAAGAGTCCAGGCTTTGGATGGTTGGCTGGCAAAGTCGGTTGTTGTCGTTGCCAGAGGCATTTTGCAATTGCCCTGAGGATTAGAACGCTCCTGTGAACATGGGGCGCCACAAGGCTCAACAGAAACAACCTTGGCAAACCCGTGTCATCAGAGCTTCCTGCCAATGTTCACGCCGTAGCTGTTGATCCCCGGAGATTTTGCTGAGGCGCTTGAACCGACATCAGCAGTCCAGCTCATATTTCTGTGTTTGCTTGAAATGTGACAAGTGACATTCGCACTTTTTGGCCGCCAGTTTCCGCCAAAACGTTCACCTTCACCCAGGTTTTCCATGCTGGGCCCTTCACTGAAAGCTGTGCGCAGATTGGGTTTCACCGCTCAAGGACGCCCAACCCAGGAGAAATCAGAGGAGCGTTACCCAGAAAATGGTTCCAATATTCTCCTGGGGTGAGATTCTGGGAGCCATAGGACCCGCAATCAGGGTCGAGCGGGAATTTGTCAGGCAGCTCTGGAGGAACCCTGCAACAAATAGGGTCGAGGTACCTGCCGGGGCACCTGTTCAATCTCTTGAGATTTCCGCACCGAAGGCAAAAAGGGATGCATCAGCCCGTCGCTTGCCAGCTCAAGCAAGTCACTGAGGTGAAATGGACTCCAAACATGTTGGGTCAGATTGACCTGGGATGTCGGGCTAGCAGGGATTGTCAGGGATTGTCATTTTCCCCTTGATGGACCTCCACGAGTGGAATTTCATCTGTGATCGCCCTTTCCGAAATGCTTCCAAACAATGGCATGGACCAGGGCTTCATTTTCTGGTGGCTTTGCACAATCCTTACGCGCCTCCTTTTAACCAACTGCAACCGTTTTTTTGGGGGGACGTGGGGTTCCAGGAGCTTGTGGAAGTGGTGTGGTGTTTTCACTTTTCTCCAAGTCAAATACTGAGGAGGAACTGAGGATGGTCAAGAGCTAAGGTTTGGGCTAGTACTACAATTTGTCCATGGCCTCCCCAAAAAGTCGACGAAGCTGTTGAGGGCTCCTGTTTGGCTCTCTCTCCTTCAGTGACAATTTCTACCAATTTACTCTCGATGAAGCCTGGTCTAGCTATTTGGAGGCCCCGTGCAAGGTTGATCACTTCCCGGGCCTTTTGTCAAGCGAAATTACTCTGTGGAACCATGTTTGGTCATGGGCATTAGCATGCATTGTTTTCCCTTCGGGTGCAGATGCCTCGGAACGGGAGGGACAGCCCCCCCCCAGCGCAGGGTTTCGCGAATTCGTTGGCGTTGGGACGGTCACGGTTTCCGTTAGGGGCACAGAGGTCGCACGGGCAATCATTCCAAGACGCGCTGGCCATGTTCTCAAAGGAAATTAGGAAGAAACCACTCTTGCTGGGAAGGGCCCAACATAATTATCGGGTGCACCATAGAGCCAGCCACATGTGGGGTTATCCGGTCAGCCCGGGTTCATTCTGCAGGTCAACGCCTCCAAATCCAGTTGACGAGTGACGCATTTCAAAGGTCATGTAGCTTCTACCATCTTCTGCCAGAATTCCGTTAGTGTTTGTGGCTGAGAACTTTGGCATCCCCTTGACAACTCCTTGACAACTCTTGATTCAGGCCATGCAATCCTTGTCCACGCAGAAGTTGTCCACTGTTGTGGCGCACAAACTTCTGGCAATGTGACTCGACCTGAGTTGGCCTTGCGCCAGTCATCGCCTGGTCCCCTAGATCCCCCGCCGTCCACTCATCCCACTGCTTGGCAAGGGCTTGTGTATCAAATTGTGGGGGGAAGAACAAAGGAACGGTGGGGATCCTTGTGTATTCCTTCAGAAAGAGAATCTGCGGAGCGACTCTCGCCGCACCTCACGCCCATCGTGACCTGCCACAGCCCAGTGCCGATGCCAGATGCCGAGCCAATGCCAGAAATGAGCGCGAGGCATCGTGTCCAGTTGCCCTACCTGAACGAAGTTGCTCAAACCTGATGGACCCTTGCAACCTTTGAGTTCATATTGGTGATGGTGAGTGAGTGAGTGGTTGGTTGGGGTCTTTGAAGGAATGAGTTGTTCCATGTACCTGTGTGTCAAAATGAGGCCTGTGCAAGTTCTTTGCGTTGTCTCAGCGTTTGAGTTGACAGGTGGCCATGAGATGCGGTTCTTGGGTTTTGATGGGCGCAAGGGACTTGGAGCGTTTGGGAATTGCAGGGCCTAGAGGTGCAAAAACTAGTTATCGGCAACCCTCAAGTGGGAGCATGAAGTGAAGTGGAAGGCACCTGTGATTGAAAGACTCGGCCTTAGAATGTGAAGCGCCTCAAAGGTTCTGATTTGGCCGCGACCAGTTGTTGCATGCCATGGGCACATGTATTGCTGACAGTGCTTTTGGTTTTGGGATCCGTTCTTTTGTGGTAGCTGGATGTTTTCTGAGGCTCGTGTTAAGTGAGTTCTCGGTTGTCCAACTTTGGGCCATTGGAGGCTGATTTTGAAACCCAAATAGTCGCCAGCCATTTGCCCAACTGAAGGTGGCAATGCTCCGAAAGCCAAACATTTTGTTGATTTTCAACGCGCGCAACTGGGCCGTGCCTGTGGGCTCAAGAGCTGCACCTTACTTCATCCGCCTAAGGAACCTGGGCCACTGGGTGGGCTCGCGTGCTTGCGACTCGCGAGCCCATCCGAGCCCGTGGGCCGGTTTCTGCCCGTCCGGGCTGCCTGTGCCAACATCATTGTGGTTCTTCCATCGGTGTCCCCTTCTGAGATCATAGTTTGAATGTTCCGAATCGCAATGTCCATGTTTGCTTCCTTGAGCCTTGGCCACCGCTTTCTCCCATGAATATGATTTCCGCTATGCCGGGTTTGCTTCGGGTTGAGCTTGTGCAGAAACAGAGCAACTTCAGCATGCCGCCAGTTGGAACACAAGGCTAGTCATTCGATTCTGACAGTGGGTTTTGAAGGGTTTGGACAGCATCCTGGATGCACAGTGCTGGTGCCAGCCAAAGATGTCCACCGCCATGGCAGTTCTTTTCCTGCTGCTGCCTGGCTCTCAGGATGCGCAGTTCGGCACATCAATTCTCAAGACGGCGAGCGAACGTGTGTTTCATGTGGGTATTGCTTTTGTTCACGACTGGAGAGCTAAACATCACTTAGGAGTCGGCACATAAATCTTTGGATGGGCCCGTTCCTTGTACTTCAAAATGGGGAAGCTCAGCTTGTTCTTGTTTAAAGGAAAAACAGTTTCGCTGTTGTTGAAAGGGCACCTCCAACAACCGGAAACAACCTCTTGCAGCAGGTGTGTTTCCCAACCACCAAAATTAATCCCCGTTTGACCTGGACCGTTTGAGTGGCGGCTTGGGACGTGAATCCGCGGCAAACCAACGGTTCTTCACAGAACGGCCTTGGTCATGACCCGGTTCCCCAGCAAAGCCTTACTCAAAGGAACCATGGGGGGACACTCAAACTGGAAGTGGGTATCACAGCTTGCACATGGGACCGCTACCCACCCTCTGAGTGTCGCTTGGCTTGGATGCCCACGCCTAAGCGACACCAGGCCGCTGGCTTCGGGTGAGCGTGCCGAAGAGGCGGCCAGCGGGGCACTTGGCCGTCGTTTCGCATGGGAGCCCGGGCCAAAAACAAGGGACATGTTGCAGGTGCAAAGTCTCATCCATATGGGTGCGCAGAACTGCACTCATGGTTTTAGGTCTGTATGTGCATGTATGTGTACAGCTGTCATCTTTGTAAAACAGAGTGCTTGATTGCCATGCTTCCTTTTTGGACCTAAAACTTGTAAAGTGTCCCATGGGCTCGCACAGCCAACATTTGTTCCATTGGCGACGGCCAGGCAAAAACAAGGGGGCCAGACATTTCGCGCCTCAAAGGGGTGTCAGTGACAATAGTGCTCCTTGTGGAATATATGCTTCACTCATGTTCGCACCTCCTTCCTTTTTGCGAAAGTTGCGCTTGTTGCTATTCTGCAGCCAGCCGAATTCTTTCCCAACAAATGGTTCTAGAGTTTTATTCGTCGAGCCGAGGGCCGCGGCTGGGCTTGTTCCAGAAGATCTTTCTTCCAGAATCACCTGGCTCCAGAAAGTGTTTGTTTCAGTTCATTTAAACTGCTTGCCTAGATTCCTGAGTCTTCGCATCTCGCATTTGGAGCAGTTTCTTTGGAAAATAGGAGAAGCTTGCAACCTCTTTGAACAGAAGATCAATCAGGATGGCAGGAATGATTTTTAGTCTGTTTTGGGGAGACTTGGGTCATTCTCGGCTTGTGTTTTGGGTTTGTTTCGAGAGCGTCTGCGGATGTTTGGACCTTGGGTTTGGGAAAGTGGCATTCCAGACCTAGCTGGTTTGCGAGAGCGGCTGTCAACTTTTGCGGACTTCCTGGGGAGGTTCGGAACACATCAATCCACATCCGAGGAAAATTGGAATGGCAGCCTCCATGGCCTTTCCTTTCCGGGTCTTTCGGGGCGTGATCCGCAGCTTCGTCTCTTAGGCCGGGCGCTGCTGCAGCGGTTCAGCCTGAACTCCAAGACAAAGACTACCGAGGCCCGGACACCCGGGCCGCAGGTCGTGTATACCTTTTGGGGCTTCACGCGCGCAGAAGGCCAACAAGGAACTTTGGGATCGGGATCGGCCTTTTATTTGAGCCAAAGGTTAAGAGCCTAGCTGGAATCACTGCGAAGTTTGAATCAGCATGGACTTGGGTTTGTTTCAAAGTAGGACATCTTCTTTGGATACTTGCACACTTAAACAAAGTTACAGGACTTCAACCACCTGGAAGGGATGACTACTCATGGAAACCACCGCCGTTTGAAACAAACGCTCATGATGTATGCGATTCCCAAACGCCCCAATTGCTTCCCTTCCCTCCCGGCTCGAGAGGGACTTGGCCCAGGAGCGACTTGACCTCTGGCAGCCCACGCCAGGCGCAGAGTCGCAGAGTCGGGGAGTTGGGCGAGCACAAGGGGGGGTCGGGGAGGTTGCCTTTGGCAGAGTCTCCTTGGTTTTATATCCGTTTCAGATATGACTTTCAAGGCCAAGTGAAAGTGCTGTTCCATGTGATGGGATGATTTATACAGGGGAAATGTAGTTGGGGAACCCTGTTTCATCTCTGGTTTGGAAGCATACCGAGCGAAAGCTGTGGGGAACCCCCTGGAAGACCCAAAGGCATGAGCGCATTCAAGCAAGTGACTGCCCTCAAGAAAGACTTTCTGCACTTGGGTTGGTCCTTCTTTTCCCAACAGGGAGGCACCAGGCAACTGCACTTGCTGCGTTTGTCGCTGGACTTTGTCGCTGGACCTTGTCCTGGCCCTGGCAGTGGGCAAACATGTGCAGTTGATTCAAGCCCTGCAAGGAGTCTTGTTGATTTGAGGCACTTTGGACCCATCAAGCAAGGCTTGTGGTGATTGCCAGTTGGATGAATCTGCTGAGTTGATGGCAAGGTGCGACGGAAGGCATTCCATATGACCATCGGCGAACAACTCGAAAACCAGGACATCAAATCCCCTAGCAACAGATGACTTCCTAAGGGGCCAGATTGTTATTGCTCCCATTGCAGGTGTGGTGTGTTCGGCTGCTCCGTAGGCGACCTGGAGAACCTTGTGCGAGTGAACGCGAGCTGCTCGCTTCCGGATTGCCGGGGAGGACACCTGCAAGATCATGTTCTTGGTAGTGGCGAGGGAGGGCGACCTTTTGAATCCATTTGACCTGTTGGATATTTTGCAGCGGGCTAAAGGAAGTTCTTGTTGTGGAGCAAGGCCCACGCAAGTGTTGTTTTTCATTGAGGGTTGTAGATCCTCTGATTGATAATTGTTGGGACCAGGCCCGAATCAGCAACTCAGGCATACACAACTGCCCCTTGCTTGGTGGCACTTGTTGTTTCCCTTTTTGCAGATGGGCAGGTCCGTTTAGAATGTCCATCTGCTAAGGTAAAGGTATCATCCCCTGTGGCCTGCAGTTCAGGCTTAGGTATGAAGTCCTGGCAACACTACTTTGATCATTCGCCGAACAATGCGAAACTGCTTATGCCAAGATTTTGCGCAGTTCGATGTCGCAGCTTCTCGATCTCAGACTTTTCATGGTTGTGGTGGCAACTCGCGCTGACTTGTTCAGGGAGTGATCTACGGAATCCAGAGTTTGTGTTGAATGCTGAAGCCGTGGAATTCCCCGCTAACAGAGGGAACATCCCCACCCAAACTGAGATAAGGGACCCTTCCCCACACATGCTCTGAGAGCATGTCATTGTGGGTGCAAGGGAACAACATGGAGCATGGAGGAAGAATTAACCCCACATTGTTCTTAGCGGGTGGGGTTCCTGAAAGATGTATGAGTCATTGTGAGTCCACACTGATCGTCTCCACGATCCTTCCAAACATCCGCCTGAGGCGTCGCCCCGTCGCGCATGCACGTGCTGGCCCCTTTGACCAGTTAGCATTGCCCTGGATGGGGGGGGGGGAACATTGGCTTAAGGGTCACTTCCTGTGATACCAGGGAAAACACTTTCATCAACAGTGATGTACCACAAGCATGCCTAAATTTTGGAGGCCCTGTTTGCAACATGGGTAAGCCGGAAGATCCAGGGGGAAGCACTCCTTTTCTTGGCTCTTGGAAGATGGACATGCTGCATTGTTTTTGACGGGAATGCACACTGTGTCGTTAAGATGGATCGACGTCCCACAGACCCTGCAACATCACCTGCCCGGTAACTTGCCCGGGTAGCAAGTTACGGGCGAGCAGAGTTTGCGGTTGAAATATTTGAGCTACCTCCCAACGAGGATGGCCCAAAATGGGCTTACTAGAACAGTTGGGCCCGCCAAATGAGGTTTGCATTAGTTTTGGCAAATTGTGGCTGGCGGACGTTCGCAGATGTTGCTGTTTCAGTCGAACGCACTGCTCTGAGTAGAGCGGCAATTGTTTTCGATTTCACAGAAAGCTAGAACTTCTTTCAGGCATTCTGATACCACATGCTGTTTCCGGGGTAGCGGCATGTCTATTTTGCCTTTGCCATATGAAAGTGTACACTCTTTACCCTTCGCTCAGATTTAATCTTTTAATTGCTATAAGGGTATTTGTATCAAGAAGTACTTGCTGCCACTTTAAAATATGCTCGCCTGCTGAGTAAAGAAGCGGAGTCCTTCCTTGCATCCGATTTCGGGGGTTTAGCGTATGCTGCAGGCGATGCTGCTGTTGATGTGTCTGCTGTGTGCCTTGGTGGATGGCATCGGCTGCTTCCTGTCCCATGCCATGAAGCTCATTTGGGACACTTGGCCAGCAGGGGGGTTCACATGAGCCGCGACCTTCTTTAAACCAGGGTGAGGGGGAATAAAGGGGATCCCTGGTAGTTGAAGGAATCTTGTTGAAGTTCAGTAGTAGCTGACAAAGCCAACCATGAATAGCTGCAGATGTTTTTTGTTTTTGGCCAAGCATTCGGCTGAGGACGGCGAGCCTTCGAGCGTCAGGTCGGGTGCCTTTTCATCGCCATGTCTGACAGGTTCAGCCTAATGTGTCTCCCTCTGTTCAATTTACGTGCTTGAATTTGATTTGGAAACTCCTGATAGTGCCCTTGCACATGCAGAGTCACTTGTCCACCAGTGTGGCTCATGTAATTGCTTGCTCTTAGTATGGGGGTGTGGACCCTCAAGCACCAGTGGTGCTTGTGAGGTGCTCGTGAGTACTTGGGGGCTCTTGTGCTTGATTCAACCCCGTGCCCTTCTCAGGCAAAGGTTGTCCCCTTTTAGGTTGGCAACGACTGCACCAGTGAGCTGTTCCATCACCACCTCCCCATCGGGAGTCGGAGGCAGCCAGACCTGGGTGGCTTAGCATTCTTGCGGCTCCTGGGCGCTGTGCACTTGGCGCCTGGGTCAGAGGGAGCCCGTCAGTGTCGCCGATTCTTGTTTTGCTGGGTGGCACAAAGGAACCCTCGGAGTCAGAAGCAGTTGACTGGAGGACTGCCCCAGTACGAGGCCGCCATCAACCCTGTCATGCCGGTTGATCGGACGTGGCCACTGACAGAAGTTCACTTATTTGTAGTATTGATTGTTTGCAGTCAATGCCCTGATCAGGCTTGGCCACTTCAAAAGCCGGTGAGCAAACCCGGGCTTCAAGAGGCCTATGCCATGACAAGGTGGTTTCTGCGCTGGGTGGCCTAAGTAGCAGCCACGAGAATCGCTGGGGGTAGGCCCTAGTAGTGCACTTTGCCATGTAGTTGGTTCGTTTTCCATTGCTCATCCACCATTTCCCTTCTGAATGCAGAACCGAGCTCGGGCCAAGTGATGAAGGAACGCTTCGGGGGTTTCTTGATTCAGCGTCAGGCTTCGCATTGCTTTCCAACCTTTAAAAGGAATGCTTTTGACCCTTCCGCCAGAATCAATACCTTAAGCGAGCCAGTGCGCTTGCAGAAAGCTGGTGTAGCTTTCAGCATCCTGCATCACCTGTTGACGTTAATAAGCTTATTTCTTCGCGCGATGTGTGGTTTTTACAGGGCATGCAGCAAACCCCGTGCTAACAAGTAAAAACAGGCAAGCTGATTATTGCAACTGTGTTGCTCTCAAACCCCTCGAAGGCGCACAACTCGATTGGTGTTCTGGGCACGCTGCCTTTGCTTCTGACGAACAACCTTCACTTGGATCGCATGTAGTGAGCATCATCGAGCATCCAAGTTCGTGTTATTCTAAAGGTTTCCCCATTGCACCAACACACACCTTGGCCTTTGGCACTTCCACCCAGTGTCCCCCGAATCCAGCGCTGTCGCTTCTTTGAGGTCATGTACTCTTACGGGCCCAGCTGGTGTTCGGGCTTCAACGCCTGGGGCGCCTCCTGGTTTTCCCTCTACTTCATCCTCTCCGGGCACCTCGGACGGTAGGGGATGGCTCAAATTCGCAGGGGACATTTCTTTCAAAGGCTGGACGTATGAACCCAACATGGATTTGTCAGGTGCACACCCCTAGTATGAAGGAGCCCTTAATAAGCTCGAAGATGCTTTTTGGGCGTGGACATGCATTAAGTTGATTCAAAGGGAAAACCGGCGCACCTGGAGATGCTGGGCACCTCTGTAGACCACCCGGCGCCTCACTAGAGGGGCGTGCCCAGCTGCACTGAGAAGAGCTGCGCACCAATCAGCAAGTGCACAGGCCGCTTTTGGACAACTTTGTCGGGTGAACAGGAGGTTTCTTTTCTTCCAAAAAGTGAAGGATGCCCTCTTGAATGGGACACCCTACCCTATTAGTCAATTGAACCAAGGGTTTATGATGGGTTCCTCTTAATTACGGGCCCTTTGAATCTTCAAAGTGCGGTGCACAACATCCCCAAAAAGGACTCCGTTCAACGACTGGCCCCGGCTGCCTTCCGGGCACCATGAGCTCAAAGTCAAACCAAATGGGCAGAAGCCAGGCAGTGGCCCCTCGACTCGACCCGAAACCCGCGCCACACGCCACACGACGCGTTTTGAGGCTTAGCAGTGCCCAGAAGAAGCTGAGCTTCGGGCCCTCAGGCTCAGATTGGCTGCCGCGGAGGGACCTGCTGCTGAAGCACTGGGCACTGGTGCCCCCTGGCAGCGAAGGCGTTTCCACCTGACCTCCAAAAGGCGGGTTTGGCTCATTGGAACCCACCGAGAATGTGATCAATTGGTTTGGTGAGGTGCAGTGCAAACCGCTTTAGTTGTGTGAACTGTATTTAGCTGTTGTTTCCAGCCCTTTGCAGTGGATTGGTCCCTGCCTCTTGATCTGGAAGGGTCAACTGCAGATGCTTGTCTTCTTTTTGCTGGGCCCGTGGTTCAATGACGCCTGTCTCTTGTTGTTTGGGTGGGTTCCCGGCTAAAAAAGGCAAGCCCAAACAGGGATTCCCTTCTTGTCAGGGTCACGACTGGGTGGTCCCAACGTGACGATTTTGGGGGATGGTTTCATTTCGTCGGCCTCAGGGGGCCCTCCGCGGCCAATTGACATGTTGCAGCCCCCACAGGGAATCAAAGAGCACTTTGTTTTTCTGCAATGGGGCCTAACAATATTTGCTTTCAGAATTTCAGACAATTCCTCCCCCCTGCCCCGTTTCGGAAGCAACGCCCAGCTTGCCTTCACTTCGAAGGATCGACAGTTGATAACAAACTTTGACATTAGATCTGCTGGAGTTGCTTGGGGTTAGCCTTCAAACGCGTCAAGCAGATCCTCCCCTGCCACAGTCTCGAGGAGACGGTCACTGTCTCGCGCAACCAAGGTACCCCTTGTACTTGCTCCTGGGCAGCAATGGCGCCTTCTTTCTGTGCCGATCTGAGGGTGCCAGACCTACTAGGTCATCGACCCGGATCGTGTCGATTGCCTTTTTCGCAAGGTTTCGTATGCAGTTTCTTGCGTTTTCCATTCAAACTTTCTGGGTCAACTTAAGTGTTGTTTTTCTTTATTGGCAAAGTGATGGTCAATGCGAAACGTGGGGAACCTCTGAGGAAGGTTCAGTTCATGGCCCGCCTGCAACTTCTGATATTTTGGGTAGTACCCATGGTCCAGATTCGAACGGAGCAAGCCGGCCAGAAGGGTTGGCTGCAAATTGAAGCGCTGACAGCTGAACATGTCGGACTTAACCGGGTGTGCCGTGTGTTTGTTCGAAGTCACCCGGGATGTGATCACCATGGCCAAGTTCATTGCGCCATCCACCTGCTAAGTTTTTAGTGCTTTGATTGAAAGTCTGCAGACCAACACTGCATTGGGTTAGAATCACGAACTGCCAACATTTCAAAAAAGGAAGTGGCCTCATACATCGCTACAGCAATTTCTTAGGAATCCGTTAATATGCTTGAGCGCAGGCTCCGCACATGCCACATCGCTAAGGCTTTCTCTTGGCTGGGTCCTGCTGAACACCTACCTTCTGAAGGGAGTGCAGGCGCTTTGACAGCACTCACTGGCAGCCAATATGGAGCCGACAAGACATGTTGTCTGAGGAGTCTCCTTCTGATTGGGACCCACTTGTGCACTTGGATGCCCAGAAACCCTGAACTTTCCTCCGAATCTACATAGGCTTTTATGCTGATTGAGTGATCCTGGGAAGGCTACTTGGAGGTCCAAACTTAAACAGCTTGCGCTTCTCCATGTCCAAGGGAGTTTAGAGGAGACACTCGAAGGAACGCATTTCAAGCAAACCGTCCAATGATAACGTTTTGCGGCTGGCGCTTCCAGGACTCTTTTGGATCAAATGGGTTTTGAATGGTGCCCAAGGCTTCATTCCTGGCCATGGATTCACTATGCGGCTATTTAGCTATTATGTACTCGAAGGGTCCCCTCAAGCTCCATTCAACATGTTGTGAGGCCCAGTTACATGGCCAGCCATGATGCCTTGACTATGGCAAGACCGCTTGGGCCAACTTAAAGCGAGCTTCCATTGGCCTTCTGGCGCGGGGTTCTTCGCAAAGAGGCATCGCGGGGAACCTCATAGATAGCCGACCTGAAAGCCAACTACGGGCTGTTGGCAGACCACTCTTTGCTAAGTTCCATCTTAGCTGGTGGATGCAAAATAGCTCGGGGTCAGTGTAATAGGGATGCACAAGCCACTGTCATGGCCCAAATTCCAGTCGACAACGGTTGCATTTTGAGAGATATCGGTCCGCATTCAAAAGGCCAAAAAGGCCAAGCAAGCCCAGGTGCCAAGGCTTTTAGACCTGGCCTTTGAAGCGCTCATGCTGCCCGAGGGGCTGTTGCCGCACCTTGGAATGAGCGGTCCTGTTGCTCGGTGTCTTTGTACCCTCGCGTGTTTTGGTCTGGGGTTTCCTGAGGGTTCTCGGCGTTTTGTTTGGTTTCGTTGGGTCCTTGGGTGTTCTTTTGGCCAAGTGTATGCCAAGAGCAGGTGGATAGGCGAGGCCGCGTGTGTGGTTTGCCAGGGTTGGGCACCCCGCCTGAATCACACACGGGACCAAGAACGGAACTGGGAAAATCGTGGACACTTTGAGGGATCCTTTAGTGGGAGCCTTGTAGTGGGTTGGCTTACTAAACAAATTCACCCAGATGGAACCTCTTTTTCACTTAATTATTGTTTTTCCACGGTTGGGCAGCCTCCCCAAGAAGCGAAGGGAAGGATCTGACAAAACTTCCTGAGAAAGATGATTTGCCAGTGTGTTTTTTCTTTGCCGGTGAAAAATATGGAAGTGGCCCTTTGTGCTGGCCTATGCAACTCGCGTGGTTGCATTCCTCTCCCGGCCACGCAGAGAAATCCAACCTTGAAATCGATGCGTCTCCCATATGGCTGCGAGTCAATTTGTAAGGTCCGGAACAGGGTCCGGAACCCACATGCGATCCAGACCTCCGTTCCAGACCTCCGTTCCAGACCTTGCCTAGAAACATGTTCCAGACCTTCCGTTCCAGACCTTGTTTATGTACATTTATTTCTAGAGTATTGATTCAGATGGTCGTTCTTTGTCGGGTGTGCAAGTGCAATGGCCAAGGCTGAAATGGCGTGGAGCAAGAAAGAAGGAGCAAAGGAGCAAGAAGGAAGGAGAAAGAAATGAAGAACGGAGTATCGGTGTTCCGGAACTTTGGTTCGGTTCGGTGCGATACAATTCCGCCGCTTTCGATACGATACGGCATCGGTTCGACACCGTTCTCGGTTGAAACGACCATGTTTACATGCGGCTTGCTAGCATTCCAAAGTGCAAGCCACTCGCGGAACCGTTCCAGACCCCGTTCCAGACCCGTTCCAGACGTGTTCCAGACGCAGCGGAGCAATTTGCCACCAAGTCCACATGCACACACATGCGCCATGTAAGTAGCTGCGCTTCTTACGTGGCCCGCCACCCAAGAAGCCTTCAAGGACGACATGTGCCAGGGCTTGGAGACAAAGAAGTCTTTGAAGGATACCCTGCATCGGCTTGCGCATCGGTGGACATTGGCTTACGCCTCCCAGCCTTGTGCATCGGCTGGCGCGCGTGGCGGGCGTGACTACAGCGCATCGGTGTCCCAATGACGCGAGGGTGGCAACGATGGCGGCGCGCCCCTAGTCGTTTCATCCATCCATCTACCCATCCATCCATTCATCCATCCATCTATCCATCTTACTCTAAATGAACGTGCGCTTGAGGACTCCACGCATGTCCTCCCAGAGGTCCGGAACAAGCGACCTTGCGTAACTGACTCGTTCCAGACGTCCGCGTCACCGCGGAACGTTCCACACCAGAATATTGACCCACACCCATATCATGGGAGTTTCGTGAATTGAGGGGGGGTGCTCGCAAACTGTTGGATCAGACTCACATAGACTCACGCCAAGGCAGCGGCTGCTTTACAAGATCAACGGCCCAAGCGCCTCAGACAAAAGAGAGCCATGAGGTACAGATAGAGACTTTCAACTATTTGGAGCGCGCGGCGCTTTGTAAATGTGTGTGTGATTTTTGTCGGTTCTCGACAGGGTCTGAAAGTTCTTGTTTGATTTATGTAGCCTTCCTGCACCGACCCATGCGGAAATCTCTGATTCCAGCTTGCTTGATTTTGATGGAGATCCAGGCTTCAATCCCGATTTCGCATGTGGGAGTGTCTTTGATTTCGGTGGGTACCGTTTTTTTTTCTTCCTTTGAATTCAAAGACAAACCAACAGGGACTCCGCCGAAGGGAGCCATCCCCCGCGAGATTTTGGGGCGCCAGACGCCTTCTTCAGCGCCCTGGCCTTCTGCTGGCTGCTGGAAGAGGCCCTCTTCACCTTGGGCTCCCGGGCCTGGCGCGGGACCCCAGAAAGGCCGAGGCGCGCTGAGTGGGACCATCCGGACCCCAAAAACGGAAACCCGGGGCCCCTTGGCATTCCGCAGAGTTTTTGTGTGGACATGAGCGGGGGGGGGGGTTGGCTTCAAACAGGGTGATCCCGAAAGTGACGGGTTTGCCCATGTGTTTTCTCTAGATTAACTCTTTGAAAGCACCTCGAGGGTACACTCGACACCAAAGGACACACTACACGTCTGAAAGTGAATGCGGCGTCCCAAGAGCTTTGTTAGCGGCATCTCCTGGCAGCGAAATGGACTGCAAAATGCCGCACACAATGCCACACTGCCGCTGCCCTTGCAGTCAGCCAAGCCTCGTAGTTACACTAGAACATGCCCGGCTTCCAGCCGGTGTTGCAGGGTGTGCGAGACGTGGTACTTCCAACAAGCGCTACCTACTGATTTCGAAGATTTGCTTGAACCAAGTTGGTGTGATTTGCCTGTCGGCTTGGGTTCAACATGGTCGATTGGCTGGTGCTTGGAAAGCTCGCAAGCCGGCTTGTTTGATTGTGGGAAATGGCAAATCTGCCATGGGGAAGGCAAGCTTCAGCCTGAGCCCTTCATCCAGACAACTGTATGGACACGGATTTGGTTTCTACTTGTACCTGTTGCGCCCCTCTGTTGGCACGCGAGCAGCGAAGAATTTCTCCTTCGTCTCTCCAGAATTGTCCTGTACACTTGTTAGGGGTAAATTTGTGCCAAGGTTTCAGTACCATGTCATTTTGCAGCTCAGGGAGAGTGGGCGCTTTTGCCAGCGCGGCGCCTTTGTAGCGGTGGTGCTGTGGACGGCGATCTGGCCTTTTGCGGCGCCTCAGCGAGCTCACCCGGAGCCCAAATGAGCTCACTTGTGATGAAAATTCCCTTAAGGGCTTCCCTAGTTCAGGTTTGACAAATCGAAATAAGCAGTGCATATATTTGTTTGCTCTTGTGTGTTTTGATCTGCCTGTTGGATGGATTTGCCTTACTTGCTTCCCTTCAGAGATTGGAGGGCAGTTAAGCATCATGCAATATTGGAAGCGATGAGCAGATTCGCAGATGGTTGCACAGAAACCTGCCCCGCAGCTAGACGCATTCGTTGTCTCGACTCTGACATGGTACGTCTGCAATATGTGCACAGGACACTGCAGAGGCACTGGCCATCCCGGCCTGCTGTGTGTGTGTGTTGGGTCTTTTCTGGCCTGTACTCGCTGTCAGGGATGAGTCAACACTGGCAGCATATCTTGTTTCGTCCACTTGTTGAGACATAAGTAGCTTGCTGCCAACATTTGCCAACTCGTACTGTTCCATTTGCTTACAGAGCTCTCAGCTGGCACCATGGATGGTGACGGCTTGAGACACCTATGTACTCTGTGAAGTTGAACGTGCTGGTTTTGGAATGCCAGCTCCCACCCTTCCACCAACAAATGCAAGAAACCTGGTATGCAAACACTGTTTGGAAGACTTCCTTCCTGTTGGACATGGAGCAACTGTGCATGTTCATGTTTGTTTCAACCGCTGCATCCACACATGAACCCCCAACTCAGCCCACAGTATCTTTGATTTGGCACTTTTGTTAGGCCTCCGAAAGCTGGAATCCCCGAAAAGGATGCCCTGGCACTAGTGCAAACACCGGCGTAGCCACCTTCAGAGCGTTGAACTGATGGACGGCCTTTCCCCGAAACCCACCGCACATCTCAAGTTAATGGTCAGACATTCTTTAGCTACCCTTGCTTGCGGCCCCCTGGAAGTTTCCTTGAACCGTTCCCCAAAGCCCACCTCTTCACCTTTTGGTTTTTTCCACTTGGGGTCTGTGGTTGGTCAGGGTTTCAAAAGGTCCACTGTTCATATCTTCCTTGCGTTCGCTTGCATTCGCACTGAGCCGTGAGGCGCCCGGCACACTTGTGAGCCTGGAGGCGGGCCCGTAGGCGTTGAGGATCGTAGCGTTGTTCTTCCCATTTGGAGGGGGGGAGACTGCGTGCTTTCTAAGCATTTGGGATTCTTTGAGAGTTGAGCATGTTGTTTTTTTCGGGAAAACCCTCAAACCAATCAGACATGTCCTCAAAATTGGTTGGAACACGAGCTAGTTGCTTGGCTGTTTTGTCTCAATCTGACTTGTTTCTTCAGAGAAGCCATGAGGGGAAAGAACCATAAAGAAACCTTCTCTCTTTGTGCCCTTTACCGCCCCTGGGGTATACTCAGCGTGTTACTGACCTGCCACGGGCACGCTTTTGGCCACGGAGCGATTGCTGTGGAAACAGCACCAGAGCCAGGCAACCTGCCAGCAATGGCAAAGTAATGCAAAGCATGCACAATTAAACCAATGGCTTGCTTGAGCAATTGTTTAAGACCTATAGCTGGGCTTTCTGCTTTGTGGAGTACATGGTTCCTTTCAGGGGTTTCAGGTCTTTCCAGCAGCTGTGTGAGCGCAATGCAGGTCGGTGCTTTGATATGCAAACAAACCCCGACCTTCCCCTCAGAGAGAACTGACGCCCAGAAAGTGCCCTGGAGCATTGGGTAGCTACGAGCTGGAACACAGAAGGTATAGTGAAGGCTGCGAATGCTTCACATGTCATGCTTTGACATTTCCAAGCGTCCTTAAAATCGGGGTTTCCTGCAAATGCTGTTCAAAATGTCTGATCACCGCGGACACGGCCACAATGCCAGCGCCGTTTGCGAAGGACAACGTCCCGGCGCTGTCCTTCATCCACTGCCGCTCGACCGCTCGACCAGGGCGCGCGAGGGTTTGGCAAGGGGTCCCAACAGTAAGGAGGCCCCTTAACTTACCAATCCTCAACTTTTAAGTTCCGCGTGCTGCGTTCTTATCCCTCCGTTGTTCGTTGATGTGGCTAGAGGGCACGGCGCAACCTGCTAGGTATATGCTGTATTTGTGTTGGACACTTGCAACCTGCGAAGCAAGAACCACCTTTTCAGCCTATGAAATAGAAGGCGACTTTTTGGAGGCACAAGTGGGTGATTTCCCGGCAGGACTTTTGATTTGTTTAAAACCAACTCCCGCATTTTGTGCTGACACATGGGCAAACATATGCGCAAAGGTGGGAGGTCTGGGCACACGAAGGAGAAGACTTAAACACAACCAACACACTTGCACAATTGTCCCTGATGTGTATTTAACAAAAGAACACAACTGGGGTACGTCTTTGTCGTGTGTGTGTGTGTTAAAAGTGTTAACTTGCAACAAATCATCCAAGACAGATTGCTGTCCTTCTGGCGTGCGCTTTTGCTGTACATCAGTCCCCTCAAGTCGCTCCCAACACCGGCGAAAGGTTTGTTGGAGAGGCAGGGCAGGTTTGCTGATGCCCTGCGGACATAATCTTCCGAGTCACATCTATCTATCTTTGCCTCTGGGTCTTCCACACCCTGAGGCTCCCATTGTTCTTCAGACAAGCGCCGCTCAAATTGTGCTTTCCGATGGCTACGTGTATATATGGAAGAAACTGGAAGTGCTGAGGAACCTTCGCCAGTCTTTCGCTCCTTCTCCCGAAGACCTTGCGCAGATCCTTGCAAATAATGGCAAGATCACCGGGTGAAATGAGCTTACCCATGACGAAGGCCCTTAATTCACTGGGGAATATCCTTTTGCTGCAAGATGTCCTTTCTTTTTCGCTTTGGCAACCACAGTTTGCCCAGATGCAGATACACGCCGAGGCTACTTCTGTGGAGTGCTCCTAGCGCATTCCCTCCACGACGCGCAAGCGGCTGGACTTGACATCCCACGGCATGCTCACCAAACCCTGCGGTTTGAGATGTTTGCCACTGCCGGAACTGCAGATTTGGACCGTGGCTTTTATGTGGCCTGGTGAAGCCAAATGACCCTTCTGGGAACAGGTTCGCAACAAAACCCCGGTGACCAGTACGCAGGGTTCGCATTCAGTCTGCTTGCTGGAGCCCTTCCATATTGGGCATTCGACCTGATGTCCACAATGTTTCACCAGGGAGGCATCATTAGTGCATTCAACAGGGCAGTTGTACCTTGGCAGTGGAGACTTAAATAAATGAAGACTTTGGCGGGTTCTCAAGGTGGGGGGTCTCGTTCACCATCATTCTAGGGGTAAAATCCCCATTCTTTTCCGGGGATCCTTCTTTCTAGAAAACCACCAAAAACCCTGGAGAAATGGCTGGTTTTTGAAAAGAACGATGGCTGAAAAGAATGGGGAATCAACCCCTAGAATCATTTACGGGCTCCTCCCTCATCCCCCGCCTTGTGCCAAGGGCCTTGCTGCGCGCAGCTCTGCGATCAGCGCGTCCGGTGCGCTCCTCATCATGGTAGCCATCTTCGTGGGCATCGGCCGCTTGGAAGATCGCAGGGCCAACCTGCTTTTCTCCAAGCCCCTCTTAGTGTCTTTCCCGCGGCAGATTGCTTTAAGGAAAGAACACGCAGTTTCATGGTCATTTTAAAAGGGATGCTTCCCTGAAATGGGGCAATGTTTGACACGTGTGGAACTGACATTTGATGGCCTGTGTATTTTGAAACGGGCATTGCCCGAAAACGATGGCGCAGGCATGAACCCTTATTTAAGACAGCCTCGGCGACTCCGCGGCAAGCCGATGCGGCTAGAAGAGCTCCACGCCGGTTTGGGCCCCCCAACTGTGCCACGGTGAAAGGACGAATTATTGTCATCATGACATGTACCAAGCATCCGTGTTGATATCTGGCTATTTCTGAAGGCTTACTCTGGGAGTGTAAATGTTCACTGGGCACAACATGTTGTGGATTATAATATCTTAGCATTTTGTTAAGGGAGTTGTCTTGCAATTTCACTGAGGAGATGCATCGATGGTGGCGAATTGGGCCCAGTTTGTGCTCCTGCAACTGGCCGGAGATTGCAGGGAGTTGGGAGTATGCGCGCCAGTGTGAAAGGTGCCTAATCCTTGCCAGGGTTTTTTGCGAAAGAATGCACAGTTGCACATTGAGATTCTCTATGGAAGGATTGGTTTGGGGGTTCAAGCATTGACGGGCTCCGGGTGTGCTGCATTTCCCCGAGGAATGTCCCCTTTCTTGGACCTCAGGCACGTTCTAGAATGCACACTGCGAAATTCATGGGTGTTGAACATCTATTTGATCCAGGCGAGGTTGCTTCCTGTTTGTGATGGCTGCCTGGGCATACACAGGTTAGGACCTTGCCCTTAGATTGAAAAAAACAAGTGTGGTTGCAGTAAGGGACCTTTCATATTCTGAGGAATGGATGGCACTTGAGTTCATTTTCTCCTGCTAGTCTTGCCACAAGGCTTATCGTCGGGCCTCGATGCGCCTCTGGTCAGCCCAAAAAATCGGGATCTGTGTGATTCTGTGTGTTCAGCATTGCTTGCAAGGTGCCAGTCTTGATGGCCCAGATCGCAAACTCACCCTCACTTAAGGTTGGTCTCCATGGCTCAGAACGAATCGACCTGTGGACACTGTATTTTCAACTTGCGTTCACTTCCCATTGAATATCGAAACATTTTAGACGGGCACCACCTTTGGCTTTCGCTCTTTTGGTTCACGTAGGGCGGGTTACCTCCCAGAGGCTGAGAGAAGCACCCAATTGCGGACACCTTCGGGGGATCCTTTCCTTGCATTCCCCTTGTTAAATCAAGAAGTATAATTAATCATTAATTCGGCAGTTTTCGAGATTTGGGCACCCCACTCCGGGAATCACACCACGCTCATTTGCCTGCCAGCGTCCGGCCACCCGGCTTCCCGGCCGGCGAAACCGGCTGAGGCCTCTGCAGTGCATGTTGATCTACAGCCTGGGCCGTGGCCAGGACCCAGTGGCGCGGATCTTCGGCACCTGGCCGCTGCCGTCCCCTGGCGGAAATGTCCCCGGCAGTCCTCGGAAGGTTTGGGTTGCCCAAACCTTGGAAGCGGCAAAATCGCGCGTTGGTTTGTGTAGGTCCCCCAGTAGTGCCCTTTTACCAACTCTCTTGGGTACTCTTATTCTAACCTCTCTACTGGAGGACCTAGTTGTTGGCGGATCCGGGTTGTTTGGAGGGTTCTTCAAACGCCTCCACGTGGTACTTCGGGAATGCCCGCTGGTACTCAAGGGGCTTCATGTGGCCGCATAGAAAATTTCCAAAGCCACCCCCTCTCACCCCACTCGATTTTACACGAAGCCCTGGCTCCAAGCCCATTCCTTTCACCCATGATTCCTTTCACAAGCCACGCATTTGGAGCTTCTGCAGGATCCCTGATCTTCAGAACAGAATGGGGCGGTTAGAGTGCCAGTCGCGAGGCTTGTATCCGAGCTGGCCCTCGGCATCTACATCTTCCAAGCTCCAGGAAAACAGTTGTTCCCTGTCCTCGCATTCAGTGGCAAGTGCTGCGGGAAGGGGTGGGTTCTTACTGGATCCCAGGAACCAAGCATTGGCAAGGCGCAGTGGTATCGCAAAATTGGGCCGTCGACATCTGGATCATCCCTGGGAGCTCACTTGCAAGCTACGAAATAAAAGCGAGTATCAAACATGGGGCTGGTGCCTCAAGTCCGAGCCGTTTGTCTAAGGTGAGGCTCTAGATGTGGTTCCTTCAGTGCAGGATTGATCCATATAGGGCCCCACCAATTAGGACACCGGGTTAGGAATCGTGAGCCGCCCGATTTGAGTTTTCAATTTGCGAGGGGGAAACGATCATCCTTTGTAGTTTAACTGGACATTTTGCTCCAGTTGCATCTCCCTATCGCATCCAGGCGCCAGTATGGCTGCCCTGGATTCACAAACCTCTCAGGCAGATGGAGGGGGGAGGCTCCCCTGTAGCCGATGGCTTCACAGAATGAAGTTTGGAAGGTGTCGCGTAGACCGGCCAGCGCGCGACTTTTGCCCTCAACTTCTGTGATTCCTCGTCGATGCTATTCGGACGGCTCAAGCGGTTGCAAAATTGCTGAGGTTGGATGCCCTTATGGGCTGGCAAGGCGTGGTCCGTCGGCTTTTCGGACTCGAAGCCCCTCGGTTCGGTCGGCCCGTCGGCCCGTTGTCGTTTGGATGGACGCAGGCACGGCAGCGGCGGAAGTTTGTAGGTACTTGCTTGAGTTGCAGAGGTTGCATGTTTGATCCTCCCGGTTTGGAGAATACGAGGGCCCCTCACAGGCCCAGGAACTTGCATCTGGGCCGCTGGCTATGTCAAGATCCCCCCTGTTGCCTTGTGGCCGCAGGTCCAATTGGGGATGCCTGTGGCAGCCCCAGCTGTAGCCGAAAATTCCACCATTTCCCTGAACTCACATGCCAGTCACGCCTCTCACACAAAAACAGCACCCAACAGCATCACCCAGGGCCGCTGAAGAACCTGCGCCAGCTCAGCGTGCTGCTGGTCTTCCTGGCGCTGCTGGCGCTCTTGGCGCAGCAACTCCAACGCCGCCTGGCGCTGGCCACCAAGGCTCTGCCCCTCGGACGGCGCTTGGGCTGGTAGGGCTGGTGGTGTGGCGTTGCCCTTTTCGGATCTTCGGAGAGAGAAGACGGCCGTTGCGTTTGGGGAGGGGGGTGAACTAGTTGGGACATGTTTGGCAAATGCCGTTTTGGAGTGGTTTGGCTTGTCGCCATTGTGTGATGGAAGATTCTGCGAGTTGGAGCAGCAAGCTGAAAAGCCAGGCCATGTCTGTGAGCCGACATCGTGCTTCCTCAGCCAAGGCTCGCATGATGCCAGCGGCGTACTGCCACTGCACCTTGTGTCGCTTCGGAGCGGGATTCTGAGCGAGCACGGAGTATCACGGCCCCTGGCATGGACGGAGACCTGAGTGAGTTGACCTTCGAGCTTCCACTGGCTCCAGAGCCACTACCCCTAGGGAATCGGGTATGTTTCGCGGCATAGCCACTAATCATATTACTGTAAAGGTTTTATGCATCATTTCCTTTCGGGGTTAGAGGCAACCCTCGGTTTTTCGAAGCTGTTGGGAATTGGAAGTGTCTCGCTGAATTCAAGTTGTGATTTCGTGCAAGGGCTCAGGCTTGAAACTTGCGGATTAGTGGCAAAAAGAGAGGAGAAAGAAAGAAAGAGATACCTTGTACTCCGACTGTTGGGAGGAGCTTCTGCCGTGCTAAGAGGCAAATCTGCCTAGCGCAGTGGGCTTGGTCCACTTGGCGGATGTAAGACTGCCGGGGACATGTTCCAGCCCAATGGGTGCCTTTGTTCAGCTTCAGCTAGATTAGCGTGACTCGCTTTGAACTAAAGTATGATTCGCTTGGCGGCTGCAGCAGAAGATGAGAAACGTGTGCTTGCATGTTATTGGCCAACATCCAATTTTGCGTCTACAATGCGCAGCAAAGAAGGCCGTGAAAGAGTCTGCCGATCTGGTTCGCCGAGTACGGCCCATGCTGTGCGTGCTTTCTCGGAGCGGCAATGGAAAGTGCGTCACAAAGCGCTCGTAGAGACAAACAATGCAAGAGCCAAACAAGCCGCTCTCCCATACTTCCCAGTGAATATCCACCAGTCTTAAGGAAAATGAGATGCATGATGCAATGGTTGTATAGTGGGAGTTTGCCCATTACCCTGAGGGAACGGGTAGTTTGGGGGTCCTAGATTTTCTGCAAGCAATGATTTCTGCATAAATTGTGACATTTGAGTTTTGGCACCAAGTTTCAGGTCAATATTTCGGGTCAAGAGAATTCAGAGCTTTCCCTTGAGGACCTGCCAGTGCGCAGAAGTGGCCTTCATGATTAAACCGACGCCAGGCACTGTGTTGTTTGTCTATCCTTCCAGAAGTTGCTCTTTCTTCCTTTGCAGGCTGCCAAAATGGAGAGCAAGATCTCGTGGCTGGAGGGCATCCCACATGCACCATGCTTCAGAGACTTGTAGCTTGCTGCAACTTCCTACAAGGGCTGCTGCAACTTCATTAGCTTCTCGCATCTGCTGTGTTTGGCTCCGTAGCCATGCGATGTGGACAGTGCCCAGAGGTAGCGTTCCTAGCGTGCGCTGGCGCCGGTGTACCGGAAGAGGCGGGCAGGGGGGGAGGCTGCGTCCATTTTACGCATGTAAGGTGATACCTTGCAATTTTGCCAGGCAGAAGCTCTTTAAGCGCTTGACCCAGCGTTGGTGTTTGCAGTCGGGCCTGTGAATGTCATTTTCTGTATTGGCATCACACAAGCGGTCGGGCAGATGGCATGTGTCCAGTGATCCAGAAAACGTTGTGCGTTGGCTGGCCTTGAGTTGGGGCCATGTCAAGAATCTGAGGCTGTTTGGGCCCTCAGCGCCATGTCCAGCAGCTTGTGTGCCATTTGGGGCCTGATGTCGGGCTGTGTTCGTAAAGTCTCTGGGGAGGACATGCTGACTGAGGCGGAGTTCGCGTTATGGTGGGACGAGAGTCGCGAGCTGCGAGAGGCCGGCGCCTGCTTCGTCGACGCGCTGAGGCGTGAACTGGCGAGGCGCTTGCAGATCCCGAATTTCCGGCAGCTGGTGGTCTGTGGCAATGACAAGTTGGGACCAGAAAGCCCCTGGCTGAAGGAGGAGCTGGTGGTGGTCGTGCGGCACTATGCATCAAATACCACGGCCTCTGAAGGGGTCCGAGAGCTTCTGCAGGCGGCCGGATCTGGTGACACTGTCAGGGTGCGGAGCCTGTTGGAAGAGCCGCTGGACCCAGACAGCAGCAATGACAGGGACCGATCAGCCTTGCATCAGGCTGCTGGCAGTGGCTTTGTTGAAACGGTCCATTGCTTGCTGGAAAGCAGTGCTGATAAGGACAAGGCCGATGTCGAGGGGCTGACGCCGACGCATTATGCGGCTATTCTCGGCCATGAGGAAGTTGCCCGTTGCTTGCTGGCAGCTGGTGCTGACAAGAATAAAGCTGACAGGCGACTGCGTACGCCTCTTCATTTTGCTGTTCATGGTGGCCATCCGGACATTGTGCGTTGCCTGTTGGAAGCTGGCGCGGACAAGGACAGAACCGCCAACGGCGGCAATACGCCTATGCACGTTGCCGCCGTGACGGGCCAGTTGGAAGTGGTGCGCTGCTTGCTGGGAGCTGCAGCTGATGCCGACAAGGCCAACAACCTCGGGCGGACTCCCATGCACTCTGCTGCTGCGCGTGGGCATTTGGAAGTTGTCCGCTGCTTGCTACGGGCAGGCGTCGACAAGAACACGGCCGATGAGGATGGTGCTACTCCCATGCACTTCGCTGCCAACGGCCACGAGGAACCACGGGCGTAGATCCTTTGAACGGTTTTTGTTTTGCAACTGAAGTGGCCCCGTGAACAGCGGAAGCCTCTCTTGTCAGAATATTAGTGGCCTAGAATCGGTTGTTTACAAGGTTGGCCCGCACTTTGCCAGTCGCTGCCTTTCAACCATGGTCATTCATGATACGGCCATGTGCTTTACGAGAGTTCACCCTTGCCAAAATTCACTGTTGCGGCTAACCTTGTTGTAGGAGAAATCAGTGCCACACTTGTCCTGAATGGCCCCCCCAAAATGATTGATGTTCGTTGGTGTCCATTTAAATCCCATCCAAAAAGGGTCCACGACTTTGAGAAGCACCCAGATGTCTAGAACGGCATAGAACGGCCCCAAGGACGTGGTGGAGTGCTTCCTGGGTGCTGGGGCCAACCTGCACCAGACGGACAACTCGGGGCGCACGGCGCTGCATGAGGCCGCCTTCTACGGGCAGCCGAGGGTGGCAGCTTGCCTGCTGAGAGGTGGTGCTGACAAGGACGAGGTGCCAAATGAGAGGCACCAGACTTCAGCGGAACCTGGCCGATGAATAGGGGGGTGTTGCCCCAAAAGTGAAGAGCTCCCTCTAATCTGTGCGAAACACTCACACACGATTTGCCAACCAGAAGCGTATGATTCTAGGGTCAGCATGCATTGCTACATGACCTGAATACAACCTAGGTTTGGGTTTCCCCCAGATGCGGTCCATTTGCGCAGGACAAGGCGGACAAGGACGGGTCAACCCCTCTGCTCCTGGCGGCCGCCTTCGGCCATGAGAAGGTGGTCCGCTGCTTGCTGCACTTTGGCGCGGATCGGGACAAGGCGGACCACGAGGGCTGCACACCGCTGCAGGAGGCTATCAATCATGGCTACCGGGAGGTCGCAGACTTGCTGGAAGCCAGCGCCGAGACTTGGCCCCGAATCCCAACTTTGGAGTTTTGCTCAGGTTGCGTGTTCAGTCGTCGGCCCCAAGGGGCAAGTTCAGTTTTTCGTGTTCAGCTTGGCTGGAAGTCAGGAAAGGGAGAAGGCCACCCGCAAGCGCACAGCGCACGCTGCCGGGTTGGAAGATGCTGGGCCTGACAGATATGGCTATGGAACGATCCCCTGCGCGATTTCATCGGTCAGGGCTCAGCGTCCCAAAAGTCCAGTGTAGCTTCAGAGGACTGCGTGTGATTAGGAGTTCTGCTGGTTTTGATCGAGCACTGCAATTTATGGTTTTTCAGGGCGGGAGGCCGATGCCGCCCGGGGAACACATGATAGCCAGGTTGGTCATGAAGGCAGTTGCCACTGCCACAATCACAACAAGCTAGTTAGCAATGGTTCCGCCAGCAATGTAGTGGCTTGACGAGCTAGAATGCCAAAGCAACGTAGTAATTTGAGTGATGCAACTGCATAGCTGACATGTTTTTTTCGGATACTTTATATTTTCGGAGCGGCCGTCTTGTGTGACCGGTCGAGTGTTCAGCATGCATGCTTTGTTGCTTGGGACTGTTGCTAATCATTGCAAATGTTGGCGTAGCTCGGGGCAATGGAGGCATAAGGCTCCTGCACCTGCAGGCTAAAGTAGCGAAAGCGACAAGTTCCCGCTAGTTTCCTCGCAGCATCCACTGCCACAGACCTTCCCAATCAACATCATCATGGAACGTATTGTCTTCTAGTTTGCAGGCGGTTTGAGTTTGAGCTGTGCTCAAATTTATTGGCTAGCTTTTAAGGATGGCTCATTCCTCCCTTTTGTTTTCATGTCGGACGAGCTCTCAAACTTTGTGGCGTGCCTTACAGCTTGGAGCGTTTCAGAACAACACCCCCCTCTAAATGTTTTGCAAACAGCGGGTGTGATTTCTGGAAGCATTCATTTCCCCAGAAGGGAGGTGTGCAAAGCAACACAGGCGCAGGTGGGGAGCCCAGGTCCCTGCTTGCTCATGTTTGGTCCGGAGCAACGTGTTGCTAGGTCCATGCAGGGCCTTCCCAGGAGGGTTTGGGGGCTCAAGTTCCCACGGGAAATGTGGAGGGGAGGGGGGGGGGAGACCTTGAGTAACATCGCTTGCGATAGGCTTGCAGGCTCAGAGTTTCTTGTTACAGGTCGGCAAGTTACAGATCCCAGCGATATACTCATGTTCAACATGAACAGCTTCAAGACTTGCGCCCAATGAGGCTTAACAGTTTGTCTTTCAGATAGCGAAGCTGGAGCAAGTCGAGCCACGTAGAAGCAGTATTGTCGGGATTGATAGCTGATAGCTGGGTAGCTTCATCACCTGCATTCGCCGCGAGCTTTCAGCCACTCCCGCCATGAGATCCGCCGACTGTGCCGTATGCCTGATCCGGGCACTGGTTATGGGTGTGATTTTTTACTTCTGCACGACTTGGGACGATGCCGATGATACCACAATCACAAGATCGTCAACACCAGCTCCGGAAAAGGAGTTGGATGACTTGACCTGGACAAAGGTGGTCCTGTTGATCAGCTTCGTGGTGATCTTCCTTGGAATTGTCCACTTGGTGAATTTCCCGTACCTTGACAAGGAGGTCAAACACGAAGGTTGGCAGCTTCTCACCGTCGCAATCTCCATTTTTAGTGCTGCTTGCTTGGTCTTTGCAATTAGCAGGGTCCTCAGAAGCATCACACAGGGGGACGAGGTGCGCGAGGAAGTTGAGGGCACCTTAAACTTTGTCATTTGCGTCTCGGTGTTTGCCTGCCTCGCTTTCACTGCCTTGCACATGGTCCTTCTCAGCATCACCCCGACTCCAGGCAACCATCGCAAGATGTTTGCGGCCAGCATGTTTGGCAGCCACGTCTACGCTGCTGCTAGCGTACTTGCCTTTGGACAGCTTCAGAAAAACTACTTTGGGGAGAGCCTCAGCACCGCCTTAGCGGTTCCCTGCCTGTCCATTGCGGTCACAGCTGTCTTGTATGGCTTGGTATTGCTCGCGGAGAGGTCTTGCCGCTTTGAGAGGATGCCAGTTCAGCTGGTGAAGGATGCACAGATCGAAGCGGGTGCCATTGCAGCGGCCTTTCTGGTGGTGCAAGCGCTTTGCTACGCAATGAGCGAGGAGCAGACGGAGAGATTCACGCCAGTCATACACGGACCACCTGGAGCGCATCACGCCTCTTGCGTGCTGAGCCTTTTCGGCTCGGCCGCCGTTCTGATTGTTTTCTCCGCGATGTGGTCCGTGTGCTTGCGACCCAGATGCAGGCAAGGCACTTCAACACTGAAGGGGCTGTTTGGAATGCGCCAGACAGATCGCTCGCGCAGGGCTAGTTGTTCTCACTTTATGGTAGTCATGTGCACTTCGGCAACTGAGTTCCGCATTTGTTTGCACCCTAGCTGTGAATACAGGCTTGCTTAGATGATCTCCCAGCGCTGTTTAGGTTCCATGTCACTTGTTGCAAGTGTGATACTTCCACAAAAAAAAAACGGTGGGGGTAGCCCAGATTCCCTCATTGTGCCCTCTTGGGAAAGCTTATGATGGTTTCGGCCCGCGCTGGTTCGATCTTGTTCGTTTAGATTCCCACATCTCGCTTGTCGGCCAGCTAGCTCTGTTCTGACATGTGGTGATGATGTTAACGCCCTGAGAGGCACATGCCGTTTGTGCTGGACTTCGTTTCTAGGCTCGCATCTGTCACCGGCTGCTGGTGTCTTCAGCGTGGTGGCATCATCTTGTTCTACAAAGTCTTTATGTGGAAAATGTCCTCGGAAACATGCGACGAGAACCACTGCACGGGAAGGCATAGGATCAACCTTGGGCATGCCAGCAACCGTGCCACGGTGGTGAATGCTTTGGCCATGTCTCTCTTGGCAGCGGGCTTCATCTTCTTAACCGATTGTTGCGAGCCATGCGATGAGAGCGACCCAACTGACTTGGGCTTATACAACGCCTCACCTGGCATGAGGATGGTTGTGGATGGATTTGGCCTTCTTGTCGGCATTGTGTGGGCCAAGGCATTTCAGACCGCCTATTCCGTCTTGGACCGCGCTTCGATCGAGCACCTGAAAGGCCAACACAGTCGGATCGGCGAATTTGTGGGGGACAACCCCATCACAGCATCAGTGACGGCGTCGAGTGTTGGGATCGTTGTGTCCATGTGCGTGCTGGTCGCCTGGTACCATCTCATCGTTCCCCATGCCATGAAGCATGCAGAGGCGGAGGAAAGGGCCAGGCTAGCCCAAAGCTCTGACACAGACGACTGTGCTGACAGCCCGTGATGCCCAGAAGTCTAATATGGACTTCGTAGGCCACAGCAAATGTTTCACTTGCACAATGCATGCAATCAAAAGTTGATGTATGCATCCAAGATTGGTTCCAGTTTGCTCCCCGCCAAGTCAACATCAAAGCCTTCACGTTTTGTTTTGTGAAGGTCACCTTCCTTTTCAGGAGTGTGCAGGATGAATTTTGGGGTTCGACATCGTGTTTGTGCGCTATGGGTACTGAAGTGTGCCCTGATTTCAGCACCAGCGGCTTCAACAGGCTTTGCTGAACAGTTGGGGGAAAGCCTGATACCGTTTTAATCACAGCTTTGCTCAGTTTGATGGCTTCATGGCCCTAGAAAGGGCACGATGTAGGTTGTCAGGAATCAGGTTAAGAGGGTCACAGGTCCATATGGGGGTTGTGGGATTCAGCCGCAGAGCGCGAAAAAACCAACCAATCGAACCCAAAGTCACCTGTTTTGAGTCTGTGATGAACGGCGGCAGTTTGGAGTTGGTGGCACAAATTGCCGGGTACTAGTACCCTGCAAATTATATTGTGATAGGTGTTTGCACTCTGGCAGCAGGGCTCAGGTGTTTGCGTGTGTGTGTGTGTGTGTCTCGGTCAGCTGGGCACGAAAGCTATGGATCATAGCTACCCGCCACCGTGCTTTGCCAAGTTCGTTCGCCAAGCTGTGCCGCTACCAAGGAAGGGGGCAGAAGGGAGAAGCCACTCATTGGTCATACAAGCCTAACCTCTCCAATCACCAAGGGTCGCGATGGACTGCCGCAACGTCCTGTTGTGCTCTATTCATCGCTGCTGGATGGTATTCCCTTGGGAGCCCTTGGGAACTCCAGAGGCCAATGCCGGGTTTGATGCGGGCACTGGGAATTTGAATCCGAAACCATGTGGGACTCGACTGGGATAGGACCCTCAATTCGGCGGCCAGGTCCTCACATGTTGCGCGGCGTGAGCTCGGGCGCCAACAAGGCGAAAGCAGCCTGATCACGCGAAAGCGGTGACAACAAAACGGCCTTCTGCAAAGTAATTGGGGTTTGCAGCAAAATGCAATATAAAACGCAGATGTTTCCGCTGTTTTGTCAACGGGGCTTTCGGTGCTTCTTGGAATCGAGAATCTCAATTGCCAATCCTGGCAAAGGGTCAGAATTTGGGAGGAAGAGCATGTCCAAGTCGGGCAGATATTCCTGTGCGGGGGCATCAACCCTGGCCTCCAAACTCCAAATGAAAGAAGGTATTCAAACCTATGTGGTGTTGAAAGTCTGAGTTCTAGCGGTTTGGACTTAGACAAGGCTGTGGTAGGAGGCGCCTCGGGACATGTTCTGACGCGAAGGCTGATTGCTGTAAGGGGCAGCATTTTCTGTTGTGAGGTAATTACGCCATGGCGGTTGGTGGAACCTAAGCAATTCCAGCAGCTGTGCACATCAGGACTAATTAAGAAGTACCGGCGGGGGGACGTTTAGAACAGCACTGCTCACCAGACAGACAGTCACAGACGTGTCATAGAGTCATATATAGCTTTGTTGGCTGTTATTTAGTCTTAGTTGTGCTCCGGCCCACCCTCTTTCGACCCTACGGCCTTCCACCACGAGGCGACTTCAGCAGGGCTCACGGTGCTTTCCAGCGTTCAAAAGTAAGGCATCCACAAGGCAAGGAACTTGCAAGGAAGCAAACCCCCAACTGAAGGCAAACATGTCCGTGATGAATCAGGGCCGTCGCCTAAGTAGAACTAATCCTGTGGTCTCTATGCAGGGCTTTTGCTTTGGACTTTACTCATCGTTTGCAGGACTAGGTCTTTGCAACTTGCCAGGCACCACACAAACACACGGCTCAGGCCCTGAGCCAAACCATGCCAACCCTCAGCAACGTTCCTTTTTAGATCCTCGACATTTGTGCGCCTCGCTTCTCTTCCGGCCGCGGCGCCCGGATGGCCCATGGATGAGTACAGCACCTACCGACGCTGCGTGCTGCGCTCCAAGGGCCTCGCGGGCAGCTACTGGGCCACCACTGTGCTGCTGGTCTTCTATGTCCCTTGGGCCGAGGGACATGTCGGGAACGCATGAATGCAACCCAACCGTAGTGTTTCCAAGCGTATTCTGGTTTGGGTTTTGGGTCAGGTAAACAGCAGCAGGGAACTAGAAGCTATTTATTGAATGTTATTGAACGCAACTGCTTCACAAGAGTTGTGCGAGACAGACGCTAGGTTCAAAAGGAAAACCTAAGAACCCATTTACTGTGAGTATGTTTTTGCTTGGCTCTACTGTCTACCTGTGTTTTTGTCCTTGATTTTGTTGCGAAATTCAAAGCTTTGCGACTTACCAAAACAAATGTGTACTTGGGCGCAGGCGGGAGTGGCCACGCAGTGTGGTTGTTCCGTTTTCTCAGCTGTTGCACATCTAAAGGTGGTTTGGATTGGTCTGTTGGATTTTGCGGGGCAGCCCTTCCGCAGATTAGGGATGGCGCCAAGAAGGAGAGCGTCAAGAAGTCAGACCCATGGGAGATGCTTAAGGTCAGGCACTCCAAATAGTTTGATTAGCTTGATGTATGTCACCCTTACCAATCTGACCAATCAACTCGGTCAGATCTACCCTCTCGAAACTAGCCTGAAGAACTCGCGTTGGTCACCAGTAGAGCAGAAGCAACCCTTGCCGCACATGGGAAGCTAGCTCCACTCGGAGCGTCCATCAATCCAAGGTGGCCATGCGGCACTTGAACTCATCCCCTGACGTTTTCAATAGCAAGCTTTCAACTTCGCAAGCCATTTGTTGTCTTGGCTTTTCGCTGGCTGGAACTAACATGAACGGGAAAACGCTTCTGTAGCCAGGGTTTTGAAAGGAGAAGTCTGGTATATATGCCATGAAGTAGCTAATTGAGCCGTGATGTGTCCAAAATCGGCGGCCATCAGGGGCTTGGTGTTGGGCCCTTTGGTATTGAAATGCGCGGGATCCGGTCAAGGAGCTTAGGGCTGTGGTGGCCTGGGAGTTCTCACAACCGACTTTATTGGGAGGCCTAATTTGAACCCAGAGATGGGCAGCAGGTCCTTGTGCCCCTGCGCAGTTCAAGGCCAGTGCCCAAAGCCAAACTTCTCCCATGAGAATCGGCTGCTTGCAAGCAAAATGCGGGCTCACCCGACCCTTGACTGGGCCCCTAGGCTGGCCTGTTTAAGGGCAATCCTGAGTCATTCCCTCAGGGTATGGGTTTGAAGGCATCTCCTTTGCAGTTGTTTCACTTCACAATCGGCAGCGGTCAGTCGTTCTAGGGCCCCGCTAGGTGATCTACACCGCGATTATCAGCAAGAATCATTTGCTCCTGGAGGCGGCACTGGGTTTTCATTGCAAGAATAGGGAATGATTCGCAAGCTTCACACGGACCCCAGCACAATTGTAGTCCATCAGCAAAGTATTCGAACCACAGTGAATTTGAACATGAAGCCTTTGCCTACTGAGACACAATAGGTCTACCTGATTCATGCCGATTCTACTGAGTTTGCTGGAACACAAGCTGCCTCGAGAAGCGATTGCGAGCTGACTTGTTGTTCGAGGTAAACTGGGCAATTTCGACCTTGAAGGTCGGTCGCGTGATTCATCAAGCTGCCCAATGCATGCGAGATAGTTCCCCCCTATCTCCCCAACCTGTTTGCTTGGCCGCCCTCAATCAATAGGGCCCAAAAGCAAGCTGCCACAAGACCAGGATCCCAGCTCGGTGGCAGGGATTGGATTGGCGGATTGGCAAAGTCCGTTTGAACCAGACCCGGAGGTCCAAACAGAGAGATGGTCCGCTCTCCAAGTTAGGCTTGGAACCACGCCATATATGTTAGAGGCATCTCTTTTTCGGCAACCAACTTTTTGGATTCCATGTTTTCTTTGGGGAGTCACCGTTCTATCTCTTTCAGCATGTTGAAGGGCCCCACTGAACATCGCTCAAACTCTAAGTAGACTTGATTTTTTGACCAACCGAGTGCGTGCAATTCGGCAGTTGGATCGAGGTGCTCAACGCGGAGGGGGTGCTCTTCGCACGTCTCAAGGAGGGCCCTGAGGCGCCCAGCTGCGCAGGTCTTGCCGCCGGGGGCAGCACAGGCGGGGGTCGCTTCCCCAGGTCCCCTAAAATGGATACCTTTCGGGAGGTCCTAAAAAGAATATTTGCTTCTTGTTGGGCGTAGCTTTTGCCTTTAAAGCACAATTTGGAGCAGAATTGTCAGCATGGCACTTTGACGGACCCAGCAAGACCACTACCCGGACACTACCCTCCAGCAAAGAAACACGGAAGTGTGCAGACCACATCCTTCTGGAAACGGTTCCTGTGCACCGCCGTGTTGCACTTGTTGAGGAACCCCGCTTGGGCTTGACAGGGAACCTTCTTCGACATGGGCGGCAAGTGAAGGGACCGGCTGGAGTCCTCTAAGTGGCTTTTTGATTTATTGTGTGTTGGCTTCAAGCAGGTTACGCTGAAGTTCCTAGGTGGGGGCGGCTTTTTTCTCTCCTTCCCTTCCATACGCATTGTGAAATGTGGCTGGTCGTCACGCTTTCTGTGACGGTTGTGCCCCTTGTCTACGCTGCACTCATTCGCAAGCCTAGTTCAAAACAACAGGTGCCCTTCCTCCAGCAAACATGCAACTTGGCAAATGCTTGTTCCGATTCTTGCTGATACTTTAGGTTTCTTGCAAGGTTCGGATATGCGCGTCCGCTTTAGGCTGTAGTTTGTTCTAGGGTTGGTTTTTGAACACTTTTGTGATCATCATGCTGAGTCATCCTGTTTCCACTCTTCCTATAGTCTCGGGGGCCATGAGGGGGGTCAGCATCCATCCGTCAGCCGTGCTGCGGTTTAATCCATCAACTGCGCTAAGGAGGTGCTTCGTGTTTGTTTGAATGTCCCACCCCGTTAGAGACGACATGAACAGCTGGCCCAGAATAGGACATGTAATGACCCACCCCTGCGTCAATACTGTCCACATCACAAGGTGCAACCTTCCCATTTCGGTCCGATCATCAATTCTGCTTCCATACAGGGGATGGCGACATCTACTTTCACTTTGGTGTTGTAGCCCCAAGCGAGAAAAAAAGTAGAACAGGAAAATTAAGCAACAGTATCCCTCCCGCTAACCTGACGCCTGTGAGAGGGTGCCTGAAAGATCAGATTCCAAGAGGGAGGGAACAACCGCAACTACAAGTAGGTTTCCCTAAGGCACCGATTGACTGCACCGTCCAGGTCTTTGCGTAGAGCTGCCCTGGCTATCGGCCTGCGAGTTATCGGCCAGCCGGGGCTTCCTCAGCACCTACGTGCAGGAACGGGACCCGGGAGTCCTGAGTCGGGAGCCCATGGCTGCGGGAGATCCAATTGGTTTTACGCCCGCTTCGGATACCAAGATAATTTGTCAGTAAGTTAGAATGGTCACTATTTAAACTTGACAATGCAGGCAATAAAATATGTTTCGGACTAAGGGAGTTTCCTTCGAAATATCTACCTCATTTGAAGTATGGCCGGCACTGGTATGCGGAAAGGGTTATGTTCCAAAACTGTCCGGTAATCAGAGGGAAAGGGGGGCGTGCAGGGAATGCAGAGCTTACTTTGCCTCACTGGTTCAAGATTTCTTTTGCAAGTGTTCGCAAGTTTTTTGTGCGTAAGCTCCATTATAAAGCAACTCCCTTGCTGCATGGTCACCAAGCTTCTTGATTGGTGATCGGAATGTTGCTGGAGCAAAAGCCAGCTGATAGAAAAGCAGGGGGGGTGCCCTTCAAATCTCTCCATGGCAGCCATCCTCCAAACTCGTTCGGGTGCTGGACAGAGAGCACCTGGCAGGCGCTTCTCTCCAGGGAAGAATGGCCTGAAGCAAGAGCGCCTAGGGTGAAGGCCAAGCTGCGAGAAAGAATGCTGAAGTACGCACAAGGTAGGAAGCAAGGAGGAAATGATAAAACATGAGGGAGAGAGGTATATGGCTGTGGGTCAAAACCAGTGGTACCATTTTGGGGTAGGTGCACCACCCATTTTAGTCAATTTTAGTGGGGATTGGGATGTTCACTGGGGGTACGGAATTTTGACCCACAGCCATATGCATGGGAGCTGTCAAGGCCAGGGTCTTGGAGCCACGTGTCCACGCCACGTCGTGTCACCAGGAGGCGCTGTTTGAGGGCCGACCCTCCTTGCAACGCCTGGGCTCGGAGCCGACCGACGATGCCAAGCATCGGAAGGCCCGGGGCCGCTGGTGAAGTCGTTAAAGGGAAGCCCTTCCCAAAGGACTCAAGAAATGAAGCCGAGAAAGAAGCTTCTTGGAGGGGCTGCTTATGGCTGCTTCAAGCTAGCTTGTCCCTTCCTTTCTCTTGTCACTTGTCTCACAAAGCAACCCTGTCCTTTGAAAACGAAAGAAGCCCGGAGGCAAATGACTGTGATCTTGCGAAAATGGAGCTTGCTTTTGAGTTCAGAAGGCTCCTTTCTTGAGAGAGACGGTAAATTCTCAAGACCCTGTTCTGGCTGGTATGCTGGTTGTGCCTCAAAGCATCTTTAGGATAGACGCAAACCAATCCCATGACAGCACAAGCAGCAAGCAGGGCACAGAGCGCAGCCTTATGGAAAGTCCCAATTTGGATGCTGAGTTGACGCAGTTGAGTGACTTCATAATATTTTGAATGACCTGAACCTCAGCATTGTGGTGAGCCTGGATTTGACTCTCACACAGACACGCGGCGGACATGCATGTCACATATCGTTTGTAAATTCACTTGGGCTGCACTTTGAATCTGAAAAGTTTCAGTGCATGGCAGCCATCCTTGTGGGAAGAGTGTGGGAAAGCTGCTGGAATGGTCCCAAAGTCATGCTAGAACAGCGCTGCTCCAAGGCAAGGCTCATGTTTCGGCGAATGGGGATAAGGGATTAGGGTTTGGTCAGGGAGGGCAGTAAGTACACGGCACCGTTTATTTTACGCAAAGGGCAGACACCAAAGACACCCAAACCTCCCAGCCGCTCTGCGAGGTTCGTGAACAGGCTTTCTACATCGGCGGGGGCCTTGGCATTGCCGAGTCCAAGGTATGGCTGAGGGCGAGGAAGCTGGGATGAGTTGGAAGACAGGACACTTTAGCCAAACGTTAGCCAAACTTTAGCCAATCGGATGTAATGCTTTAGTTGCGATGCCCTCTTCGTGAGAGTAGCGCTCTTTCAGTGTTGATCTGTTCAAGGTTCTGATTCTCGAGTCAAAGCAAGTCTCTCATAGGATAGTGTGGGCCATGCCTAGCCCTCACTTTCAAGTGACAAGGTTCCAGGTGCGAATGCGAGAAGCCACCAGATTTCACCCTCATTGTGTTGAGCTAGGCTGTTTTGCTTCCAAGCCTGCCGCCATGTGCTGTGTGCTCTTATCGTATTCAAATAAACAATACAGAGCATAGCAAACCAAAAGCAATGACGCTATGCTTTAGAGTCGGCACCATGTGGCATCCATCAGCATGGGGGCTTTTAAGAATCTCCTTTACACTATGTCCACCTTTATTTTTTTGACGGTTCTTGGCAAGGGGGATCAAACTTGGTTCAATCAAGGCAGATGGCAGTCGCTGGCCAATAAAATGCACCAATGCACCACTGCCCGGTTCGTCCGACTTCTATCGGGGCCTTGCCTTCGCTTGAAGAGGGCTCATTGCAACGGAGAGGTAAGAGTTGCCCACCCTGCCGCTCGCCTGCCCCCACTCGCCATCTTTGGTGGAAGGTTTTTTCATTTGCGGCGATTCCCTTCAAGGAGCCACGGCACATGGTAGGGGGTGGCCTCGCACAGCTCAGCAAGACATGTCTTTTTTTGGGTTTAAGTTCATCCCAAAAAGGTGCGGTATTCCTTGGCCGAATCGCTCAGCCTTGACGTTGTTCATGTCCTTGGACCTGGCAAGCTTAAGAAAGCCTGGCAGTGGATAGGCTTGGTGCATGGAAACTCTCCTTCGGAACTGTCCTGAGTAGGTGCTTCATATCTGTGTGCATGTAGAATGTGTCAATATGGGGCGAGGTATTTGCCCTGAAAGGGCGCCTTCGCGCACCAGGAAGATGTAGGGCCAGTTTTTGTTTCGCCCACAAGTCAAAGAGCACAGAAGGTGCCTGAAGCAGAGGACCCCTTGTTGGACACCTGGGTTTCAACCCACCAGCCTTTTTTTTGGGAGGGGGTTCAGAACCGCCCAACCCGGTGCGGGGCGTCGGGAAGGCCAGCCAGAGAGTTGGGTCCTGGTGCTGGAGCATCGCGTCGCCTGTCTAGTGGGCACCTGGTCCGGCCAAGACTTGGAAGGCGGAATTCTGAAGTGCGATGGGTGTGCCAAAGGGACATCCCGACCCCACCCCCTCAGTAAAGTGTGAAAAGCCCACCATTTTGGCCAGGGATGGGGATAAACCACGAGACGAATGGAATTTCCCCCGCTCCCCTATGATTAGACCTGACCGATCCAGGAAAACATGCGTTTTTGTATACATGTTTCTTGTGAGGGTGAGTAACGAATCAAAGGATTAGAAAAATATCTAGTTCCCCATGTTTACACATGAAGCTGTTTGTCATCGCCAGGTGGCAAGGGATCTTATATAGGCACCTATGCAGGTTCCTTTTTCCTGAATTCCGGTACGTGCGCTTTCCACAACAACTGTTGCAAGCGTCACCCCTTGCGGACGTAGGCATCCCATGGCTGGAAAGGTTCGGGTCTTCTCGCATGTCCAAGGCCTTCCAAGTGGTGAGTCTACCTTTGGCCTCCTTGCACTCCAAGGGCGCACCTTGCTTGAGGAAGCCCTCGCATGAACATACACCTCTTTGGCTTTGCTTTGGGCCGGCTCTTCCGCCTTGGGCACGCGGTAGGCTTCATGAGGAAAGAGCAGTTGGACATCAACTATGGCCATCCCATAGAGCCCGGCTGCCTAGTGCGAACACACACGAGAGCTTTGTTTTTCGTGTCGGGCAGGGTTGGTAGGTGAGAAGAATGACTCGCGGTGAGTTCTTCAGGTGCCTTTTCCATCACCCATCGCTGCGTGGGGACTTGATAGCAGGATGTGACTTTCACGGGCATGTTTACTTTTCCTGGATTGGGTCACAGGCAAACTCTTAAGTGACAGTTTCACACGCCGCCTTTGTGACTCATAGTGGCAATCAAGCACTACATGATGATTTGAAGGCTTGTTGCTTCAACGTATGCAGTATCAGCCCTTTCATGGCAAGTGGGCGGCCGATTTGTTTGACTATGCTGATGTGGTCACGGATTTTCCTTCGAGCTCACACAGGTCCTCCGAAGCTTGTCTCGAAATGGTGGGCACCTTTTGAGTCCTACAGGTTTCCCTACGGTTTCCCTACAGGTTCCCCTTTGAAACAGTCAAATGGTACCCTCAACACAAGATACCCACAGAGGTTGGAGTTTTCGTGGCTTCCGTTTCTAGACAACAACTTCATGCAAGCATGCTGGGCACACAGCAACTTTGATGGCCCATAGACGTAAATGGCATATTGCTGATTGAAGACGCAGTGCGTATCACATGTGCCTGTCACACACACACGCACACAAAGGGGTCGAAAACCTTGAGGTGTTCAACACCAGCAACTATGGAATTCACACGCGCTTTCCTGGATACTTAGCCAGCACGTCACCCTTTGCTTTGTTTGCCTCTGCAATGTGTTCAGTCAGATAATTACTCCTTGTATTTGTCTTCTTGACTGGAAGTCTCCCATTTGTTGGTTTGCCCCTAGGTAAGTTGCAGTTTTGCTTGGTCCCAACACCCTGCGAATTACTTCATGCACTTTGTAATAGACCCTTGAGGTGACGCTCAGTTGGAATTTTGACCGTGCAACCGCTTGGCCTTCTCCCCCCGGACGCATCCGGACGCCGTTGGCTGGCCAGGTACGTTGCCCGGGGCTTGCCGCCGGCCTCCGCCCGCCGGAGCTTCGCGGGAAGCTCCTCAGAGCGGCGGGTGCAGGCCCAACGGCAGGATGCCCTGAATCGGTATCCCTTGGAAAGGAACATCTGAGCTCATATATATGCATATATACCGATTCTATATTCATTGACAGGATCATATTCAATGAATATATCCCTAAATCGGCAGGATCCCTAAATCTGGCAGGATGCCCTAAATCATATGTTCATTGACCTTCCAGATGGCGCAGCCAGAGCGAAAGAGAGAGAGAAAGAGAGAGAGAGAGAGATGTTGATTGAAACAATGGGCATTTTGCCTACTACGAGCCCAGGAGCGAACAGTCCACGACTGATAGGAAAAGGTTGGTTTTGCAAGAGAACAATGATTGAACAGAATAAAGAACCAACCCCTGG